GTGCACTGCTCTAAGCTGGGCAGGAGCACGACCAAAGCAGGGGTAACTGTCCCCTCTGAAATCTTGAGGAGGACAAACACCTTTCTTGGGGTTACTGTCCTCTAGGGACTGCACTCACTTGTGGAAATACAAGTCCTGGGAAGATCTAAGTAAAGAAATTAAGAGGATGCTCTGAATTTGCATTTTAAACGTTTTTCCCATGTGATACTATAGAAATACAATGGAAGTAAAACTGGCAAACACTATCCATATGCTGCGCTCCAAAATGACTGGCAGAGCACGATGAGAACATTACTGCTGGACTGAATCAGAGAATGCATTAGAAAATGTGTGAGTAGGATACTGATATATATAAACTCGATCTTCCCTGATGGAATTAAAAAAAGTATACCTGTAATTATGGCTCACCCCTATTGCCATCAGACCAGCCACAGAGCCGAACGGGCCAGCTTTGTACCTGAGTTCAAAGCCAGGATGATGTTGCCTTATTTTCCTACTAAAATCATCTTTATCCTCTCTTGCCCTTCTTCTCAGTTAACAAGAGTTATGTACTGAAAGTGCTGAGATAAAGTAATGGTAAGGAGGATACCGCAAAAGGTATTTGAAAAGCAGAAGTAATTTACTACATGTCTGCTTTGTTTTACTTCCTAAGCCTTCCTGTTGTGAGAGGAAATTCATCTTTTCTGGCAGACTCCAGCCTTTCTAGGCCTGAGAGCTCCCCAGGAGCTTTCGAGTGCAGGTAAATGGATGTGAGACTCAAGGAGTACAGTGCAAGAACACAGAATTAATGTCGGTTTTTGCTTTGGTTGTCACATCTGACGTATAAGGAGAGTGCTGTATCCTTGCTTGCAGGAAGTATCTAGATGTAAAAAACACAAGGCTGAGCCCTCTGCTCGTTACTGCGGGTTTGAAATGCCAAGAATGGAAAGGTCATATTGCTGGTGGGTGAAGCAGATAGGACCTATGCCCATCAAGGTCTCCGTGCGAGACAGATGTCGGGGTGCTGGGAGCCTCCGGGGACCTTCTGAAGAAAGAGCTCGGAGGAAGGACTGTGGCTGGACAATAGGTGCAGCATGGATTCTGCACGCAGCAGAGACCCCAAGAGTAGGCACAGGGGAAGCATCCACTGCCTAATCTAAATAGCACACAGAGTGGTTTTGTCCTCTTCTGTTCTCCTGCCAGTTTGCACATATGTTCTGAGTATACAGCCTGCCCTCCAAAGACCACTTACAGGGGCAATCACAGGGAAGCAAAGCAGGAAGAAAGTATCCAAAAAGGGAATTTGTTCAAGAGAAAAAAATGGAGACAGATGTAGAGTGACTAGTCACGGCTGGCGGTAAATAACCCTCTGCCTGGAGTGCTCTCTATGAGGAGTTCACATGTTCCATTTCATATTTCCTTTCTAGGAAGTCAAATCTTTATTTTCCTGGCATTTGTTCCTTTTTTCTTTCCCTATATATTTTTCCCCTCTGTATGGTCTGAAATTGTTTTCTTCTTTTCCATTTCTTTTCTGCGCCGTGTTCTCTTTTAAGCGTGGCATTTCTCCAACCACCATGTGGGCCTCATTTCCCCGCACTGTCCCAGGCGATACCTTTTGCTGTACCCCTCTGTGCCATGAGCTCTGCCCTCTCCCTCTCCCTGTGCAGGCACAGTCATACAGAGCGCTCCACATTTGCTCCTGCATAATACTCCCCGCTTTTTCTCATGTGCACACCTCAGAATTAAGCAAATGCAACACACACAGACAGAATATTCATCCTCTCACTCCCATAAACCTGTCAAGGCGTATAGGCCAAGGAGCTATCTCTGCCTAAATCTAAATCCCCTGTGAGGAAGCAGTCTACTCAAAGGTAATAAAGCCAAAGGATATATTATTATCTTTGGTGTGAATCCTACTGGGCTGGGAGGTTGGCTGCTGGTTCCTCTCTCTGAACTTTCCCTCCCAGCCAGAACAGCCATCCCACAGACAAGTCTAAGCTTCCTTTCCTTGGTCTGATTTCCTCCTCCCGTTGTTTGGCTGGTAACCCAAAGGACAGGGTTTAATTATGGAGCTTGGAAACCTGGCTTACACTGCTCTGCCAGCACAGGACAAAACGTCAGCCTGCCTTCATAACCAGCATCGTTGTGCACCATTGATACATGCCTTATCCCACACAGCGTAAAGAGAACCGCACGGAAGAGAAGCCAAAGGAAACAAAAAGCTGGTTTTAGTTTTTAGACTTTCGAGAATTTCACTGAGAAAAAGCAAAACACAGAAGTTCAGCGATTACTGTACGTTCAAACAGCCATGGCTTTTGATTGCAGGTTAAATAAATAGCAAGGCCTTTCTCTGGACAAGAGAGGCGTTTGAAAGGACAGATGTGAAACAGAGCAGGGGTTCCACCCCTTCTGGAAGGGAACACTGTGGCAGGACACCAGGTAACACATAAATGCTAACATCATTTGCGTGGCTTTCAGATGACCAATACATTTTCTAGGCAGATGCCCCATTGAAGACTCTTGAAATGTTGTATATTTATGGAGACACAGCAACCATGTCAAACACAGAGGCCAGATGTCACTCTCAGGCCCAGGTGTGGTTAATGAGGTACGGCACAGAGCTGTGTGCTGCACCAGGGCAGGATGTGTCCCTGTGTTACTGCGGGGGGAGCATCTTGTACCAGGTACACACTACTGATGCCCTGCAATGAAAGGACACTCCAGTACCATCTTGTCCTTCACCACTGATGAGCTGGGGCCTTCTGGGCAGGCTCTGCCTGGCATGCTCTCATAGGTGACCCTGATTTACAGAGAAGCCGAGGCAGTGAATTCAGAGAGGCTTCTGGAAAGCCATGGCAGAAGTCTCAGGGTGTGGCTGTGGCTGTAGCACAAAGATTTAAACTGCATCCCGTGCAGGCAGGATAAAGCTCTTTTTCTTCTCAGCCGTGACAGAGATAGATAGCTTGATGAATCTCAGCTATATCTAGTCAGTACCTGGCTCCTTATGTTGCAAGGTGATTTTCTGCCATTTTACAGGTAAGCCTAGTCAGAACCTGGGGCTTTTCTGTGGTGAGGAAGGTCATGAGGAAGGCAGTGCCTTCTCTGCCTTGTTCTTGCCTCTCTGAGAACCTCAGGACATGGGCAGTTGTGCTCCTCTGTGATAAGCACCCAGTGGGTAAAGAGTAGTGGTGCTGCTTCAATCCCCGACCCCACACTTGTGTGTAAGGCTTTAGGTTCTCTTCTTGCCTAGCTCAGCACTGCAGTGCCACTATCTAGGCTGGACTTGGATGAGACCAAGATGATGATCACATGCGGGGAAAACCACCAGAAGTGACAGCAAAATTAATAGCCAACCTCTGGCTGTTGTACAAATGAAGAGCGTTTGCCATTAATAAAGAGGACCCCAAACTTTGGGGGGAGCTAGCCTTCAGTCTGACAATGATGTGGAAGCAGTGAACCAGTCAGCATTTACCCATCTGTGTCTGTGGAGGAGGTTGCGATCTCTCCTTTCGATGGGCGCTGAGCTTTTGTCCGTGTTTTTGCCGCTCCATGAGCAGAGTAGTTTAGTACAAGATGAAGCTCTGCCTTACATCATCTGGAGGCTGGAGCTGATGGAGGAAACAGCCCTTAGCATCCAAGGAGCAGGGCACCTCACTGAAAACACCAGAGCCTCAGGGACCGCGGCAGCATGGCAGTCACAGGGAGCCTGGCACTTGTCTGCCTGCAGGTCCACCCTCTGCTCCTGCCAAAGTGCCACATCTGCAGTCAATAAGGGCCCACAAGCTGGCTCCTCCTCATTAGAGGAGAGAGGGCAGCTGGCAGGGGATCCTCCAAGGGCTCTCAGGCACGGGAATCAGTCCCCTCCCAGTCTGGAATAGCCCAAATTTGGTGACTTTCTGGGCATGCAGTAAAGGACAGCTGTTTGACAGGGTCTCCAGAGAAAGCTGTGGGTATGTTTCCTACATGATGAAGGATATAGGTGGCTGGCCAAGTGCCCACAGACCTGATTTTAATGCTGTTCAGGTTGAATTTACTTTTCTGTGCTGTATAGTTCATTATACACAGTGTCCTGGACAAGTATGTGTTGTTTTAAAACAAAACCATACCAATTTAAATCCAAACAAACAAGAAAGAGAAAAACCTGTGTGTTGCAAAAGACTCTTTGGGTTGCTTAGAGGGCCTTCTCAATGCTGGAAGGCTTCTCAAACACCGTGCGACGAAAGCACTGCCTGTGTTTATCTAACAAATAAGACTTCTGTTATTTTTATTGGCAATAAATATTTGAATATTGAGCTGTAACCAAAATAGAGACATCAGCTTCACCGTGTATGGAGCACTGACCCAGAAAAAGATTTGCAATAGTATTAAGCACCCAGATGATCTCAGGAGAAGTGACCAACAGACAGTTGAGTACGCAACATAACCCAAAAGATGATCAGCAAGAAAGATCACACACAAAAACTCACTGAGAAAATGCAGAAGAGCTGCTTCCTAAAGCTGATGGAGTTTAATACCAACTGATAGTCGTTTCAATATGAAGCCTCCAACCACGTTTCACGGTGTTACAGATGAGATTGTAAATCTCTGAAAAGTCATTACTAAGTGACCTCAAGTGTTGTACAATGCTCGAGAAGTCCTTCTACCTTACATGAGTTTGGGGATATTTATTTAAACAGGATAACTGTGGGGCACACCCCAGACAGGTACTGCTTTTTTTGCTAAACGAACGTCACTGCTATCCCAGAACTGAATCTGGACATTTTGGCAGACAAAGACAGCGTATCTTTTGCTACATTATTTAAATACTTAAGATATTTGGCAAAAATACAGAAGTGACACAGTACAGAAACATTCGCAGCTGCAGGAGCAATAAAACCACTACAGCATTTTCGTTAGGCTGACCTTTTCTGACAAGAAGTTACAAGATTTCGATAATGGATCACCTTCTATACAGCATTCAGTGTATTCTGATAATAAAACTGAGCAATACTTTTCTCGGGCTCCTGAAAGCCGTGGCTTACCTGGCTCCACTTCATGCCATCCACTTGACTGGCTGCCACTTCCTGGAGAGCGCCCTTGGCTTGTATAGAACGGCTCCTCACCAGGACTGTCCATCTCATCCTCCACAGATTTGATACGTTTTGTAGAGCTGAAAAAGTAAAAATGCATAATAAATACTATGCATGTGGGAAGGAACAAAGGTGCTTCTTTTGGGACATAGCTTGCTAGCACTGCTTGAGCCTAAGCTGCTTTGGGAAAGACAGCAGACTGAGGACCCTGAGAAGTGGGAGGTATGAGTCCTGCACAGCCACCCAGCCTCCAACCATCCACTTTTTGTTTCTGATTTACTTTATTTTCAGTGGCTATGCTTCGATGTGAGACAAACAACCTCTCATGGGGTTAAACTGAGCCCCTGAACCTGTGCTAAATTAACAGCTTAAGAGACAGTTTGCCATCTAGGCTATTATAGGTCAAAAAGTAGAACATTCTTCAAAGAACACAGAGGTCAGTAAAAGAATTTAATTTCTATTGCATTATTTTTGCAATTGGAATGAATATGTTAGTGACATGCAAGTCGTTTTAATTGTCAGATTTTCTGAATAGCTTATTCTGAAACACACATTACAGGTCCCTCCAAACTTATATTTTCAATTTTTTAACTGTAGCTGTTTAATTAACCCAGATTTCGGTCCCCTAAGAAGTGTAGATGAGTAAAAGATGGACAAATCCATTAGTGATTCATGTGCTCACATTATCATACAAGCGTAAGCATTTTTCTCCCTAAGTGTTTGCCACCAAGCATAAAAAGCCCCAGTAGGTAATTCTGACCAGTACTGACCTTTGTCAGACATCACACCTCCCTTCCCCTTGGCTCAGGGGACAGAAGAGCCCTTTCAGTGGTTTCTGGTGGTCGCTGACTCAGACTCAGCAGTTTGGTGGGGAGAGGATCCCAAAGCCAAAGACACTGAGGTTGGCTCTATTTGCTATAATGACTTGTACAGACTGCGTGGGGACATTACTGAGAATTTCTCTTTTAAGTGCTTTTCCAAGGCTGTGTCAGCTCACTTTTTACCCCGAATCTGTATTCCATTAAGATTTAAAGCATTCAAGAACAGGCTCCCTTCTATAGAGGGAACATATTTAAAAGGCATAAAATCTTCCTATTTCTACTGGTCTAAAACATGCAGCCTCTGCACAGCTCTTCACCCCAAGCTCTGCACAGGTACGAGAAAGCAGTTTGTGAGTAACAGGAAGGAGGATTCCTGTGGTATGCACGGAATGCAGGTTTGGCCATTCCTTAATGTAGAGAATTGTTATGTGTCAATAGGGGAAACTGTGTGCGTACAATATAATTACCGCCTGATAATTCCTCTGAGTCTGTGTATTTAAGAAATACATTTTTTTTCTTACTGGGAACAGCCTAATGAGAGGAAAACAAACATATTACCAAGTTATTAACTACCCATGCTGTTTATAATTAGGTCCTTATCACTGCTAGCTATTTGCAGAAGAACAGAAGAGCAAGAACGGAGCTCTTAAGTAACGCTAATAACCCCACATCTTTGTTTGGGAGTCACAATCAAACCCTACCTGAGAACCTATGATGTGCTGGTGATGAGCACTGAACATAGGGTGGGTGCAGAGTTTAGATGCAAAGAAGAAAGAGAATTAAGTTTTTAACTGATGTGTAATGGAAATTGTAGTCGCCAAGCTTCCTAATGTACACTAAGTGCAAGACGGAAAATATTCTTGCCATTGCTTCCAGCTCTAAGAAACTACAGCTAAGAGCATCCCTCCAAAGCTTTTCTTTTTAGAAAACAAAAACAACAGCTATATTCAAACTATAGAGCCTTTCTACATGTGTACTTGCTTACTGCAAAGCTGGTGGCACTGCAGACTGAGATAAAAATGTAAAACAACCCTGGGCTGGAGTTAGACTTTCTTGTCATGTCTTTGAAATAAGTGATCTGTTTTGGCTGTGGGGGAAAAAAAATCAATCTGGTTCTTTAATAGTGTTCAAGACTACTAGAGTGACTGAGCTTGTTTATAAATCTAATCTCATGGATGGTTAAAGTAAAAGGATAGGGTAAAAAATAAAAAATATCCTTGTCTGGTAGGTGGCATCTAAGCCAAAACCCCAAGTGAGACTCAGCAGTCATCGGCATTAACAATTCACAGTTTTCAAATAATTGAGCCACGAGTTTCTAAATGCAATTTGAAAATCTGAACACATTATAGAGTAAGGCCCTAAACCTATGTTGGTCTCAGAGATAACACTTTAAGATCAAGGGTGCACAAAAGTCTATCTTAAGGCTATCCAGCCAGGACGAAGTGACAGGTCTCAATATGCTCCCAATTCTCTTCTGCCACCAGTAAAACTTCAACAGTTCCAGTAGAACTGCTCCTGATACACGAACACAGGAGGCAGAGGTTACACAGGGCAACGCAACTGATTTCCTTCACAGCCTGTATACACAAAAAGAATTTTAGCAGCAATCCAGTTGAACGTTCAGCTCTGTGAATCTGAAGCAGCTTCCCATCCTGAGGCCCCCAAACAACTTGTCAAATAATTAATGGTTACTTTTCCAGATGAGTAATGACGTTTGCTTGGGTTTCCAAGTAACTCGGCAGTAGGCAGAGATTAAATTACCTGGTAGAGGATGTGCTAGGTAAAGACCTCCTCATTGCTCCTGGGCTCATGCTGTAGTATGAAGAACTTTCCAAATCTGAGAGGGAGAAATTAGGGCCTGTTCCTGCAGCTATTGGTGCTGGGAAAACAAAAGAGAGCACAGTCAGTAACTCAAGTGAATATGGCATGAATTGCACTTCAAAATCATTTTCTTCTTACTCGTGTGTGTGTTTATTTTCACAATGAGAACAGGTGGGATGTGGAAATTAAGAAATGCTAATGGAAACTGGCATTGCAATCAAGAAAATGTAAATTTTATCCAGAATACAATGTTCCATGGCACAGACTCTTTCTTACACTCCTCCAGTGATACCCTTTCTTTAAAAAAACCCCAAACAATTATGACGGCACTTCTATTCATCTTCTTTAAGCACTACTTCTCTATTAATATAATTCTAACATTTAATGAAACTCGTTGCTTTTGTTTTAGGACAATGATGCATGTATTAGTACAGTTACAAATAGGCTGCATCATCCCTGTAGTGTACTTGTCATAATCTGTAAGCCGTGCAGGCAGGGAAATACACACCTCAGGACCTCTGGTGTGTACATGATGCACATCCCCAAGCACAGAGGTTACAAATCTCCCCGAAGAAAGCACAAATGCAGATGAGAAACCCAAGTCCTCTTCTGAATGTGAGCAGCTGAGTTTTGCTCTGGTCTCTCCTTCAGCAAAATCAAAGCTAGAGACATTTGTCTCAAAAGAAACATTATCTGGTGACTACCTTCCACTGTTCACCTCTCACTAAACTACCCAGCACCTAAGTTTTATTGTAAGGGATATGAAAGCCTTTCATTTCCACGTCCTAGAGCCTTGGTTTTCCATTAAAATATTACGCGCTCCTACACACTGTAATGTTTTCAAGCATGAGCCTATGAACCCCACGTGCCACAATCTTCTGGGAACAGAGGAGTCTAATGTTCAAGCCAATGGATAATGCATTTCACAAAAAAATGCAACTATATGACATGTGGTCCCATAGCCTCCGTTGCTGTCCCATCGCTATTTGCAGGACAAAGCAACTTGGGAAGCTGACAATTACAGATCACGATTTTCTCTCGCATTTCAGAGACATCTGAAAAAGGACATACCGCACAATAAAAAGCACAAGTTTGGCCTGGAACGTATTGTCTGAGAGCCCCGATTCACAGCAACAAAGGCGAAGCAGTCTCAATGCCACACAAAGATGCTGAGCCAAGTTCAATCTTTGGTCTGAGAACCTGGCCCATTTTCAAAGGCGAAAAAATCTTTCACTCCGACGGGGCAGGAGTGAGGAAATGAAGACAGGATAGCTCGTATCGCCCAGCAAACATGTCTGGGCTGAGACGCAGGCCTTCTGGGAGTGCTGCCATTGACTGTAATGGGGCCAGTATTTCACCCCAAGACTTAAGGAGCTCACAATGTCAGATTTGACAGAGGAATAATGTAGCTTTGCAGCTGCCTCATCATCCCCACAAGACAATTAGTTGTTGTTTGGCAAGGATCTTTTAAGAACGTCATTGAGACAGAAAGGGAACAGCCTGGATAGCCTCGGACTTTTAAAAGCATGAGATGGAAAATACACAACGCTATTAAAACTTGAAAAAATCTGGAATGACCATTAAAAGGAACGAAGTTGGGAAGTAATTTATGACAAGAACACTCGAACCCTTTGTTATCTTTCCTTAAGTATCACACGCTTCCCGTATACCGTATATGAGAGGGTGTGTTAACAAAAAAGAAAGAAAAATTAAGTGCAGTAAAATTAACTCATTTTATCAATTTGTGCTTTCTGCAACAGTTTCCTGACAGCAGCTACAAGAGGCTGTAAAACTGATGAATTTGCATGGAAAAAGAAACCAGTGTAAGTAATTTGTGTAAAAGGTAACACGGACATGGACTGCTATAATTCAGACACCCTGCAGATAGCAGACTGCTGCAGTGTGAGCAGTTATGGGTTAGAAAAATGACCACACTGCAGTCAGTCTGACTTGAATGGAAATCAATCATAAAGGTACTCTGCAGCATCTACTCCACAGTTTTCAGCAACTTCCTTGCCAAACAGATTTCTGCTCTGCAGACACTTCGCTGCTCGGTTCCTCTGCACCCTCTGCCTACCAAAGCCCAAATTCCAGGTTAAGCAGACTTTATTTTCCAAATGGAAGAAGGGAAGCACCAAATCAAGGCACTGTCCTTTTTTTTTTTTTTTTTTTTTTTTTTTCAAAGGCACAGTGACATTCCTCACCACTGCAAGACTTCAGACAGCTGTATTCCAAATAGATACAGAGGTAAAAATGCCATCTGCGTAATGCTTCTGTGCTTCTTCTCACCTCCCTCTGTTATCCCTCTCTCCCCAAATCCTGGACATCTCTGCTCAAACATTTGCTCTAAAGGGAAGAGACATGTACCTCCAGAAGAGCTGCGGGGTAGAACCAGAGTGTTGCTAACGCACAAAGTAGCAAATATGAGGAAGGATGCTTTCTTTATCAAGGGCTGAATGCTGCCTCATGCAAGAGCCTGCGTGCAACCTGAGGGTTACAAAACAAACCCCACCTCTGTCCCACAGCAGCAGAGCTCCTCTGCAGAGGTTTTAGTGCTGGAGGGCTGAAAGCTGTGAGCTCTGTGTCTCGGCTTCAGCCCTGGAGCTGGGCAGCACCTCAGTCCTCCCACACTGGACTTCAGCAGCATGGCTGCTCTGCTCACTGCTGCACTGCCACTCATAACGTGCTGCCTTCCGTCCTAACAAGCAGTACAGCAGCCTCCTGATAGCTCAGGAACATCTCCCAAACAGGAAAAGATGTCAGAAGTCTCAGTCGCGAGTCCAAACAATGCTCTCCACCTCCGTGCCTGACCCAGGGCCACGGCCTGGCGGGGCTGCAGGAGGAAGGACCCCTTTTCCCTTTGCACCGCAGACGTGTGCAGAGCTGGGAGCCTGCCGGCCCCACAGGAAGGCCCTGTGTCAGGGCAGGCCCGGCTCGCCCCATAGGGCGGCGTGTGGGGGCTCCGCAGTGGCCGATCCCAGTCCCAGGCTGCCGTTCCCCCCTGCTGCCAGCCCTTCCCTCGCTGCCAGCTTGTTAGCTCAGATCTTCGCCCGAAACGTCAAGAAAAATAACAGAGAAATTAACAAAAAGCCCTCTGACTTAACTCAATTGGGATATTTATTTTGAAAAATTTATTAAATTAGAGAACAGGAAACCCACTAAATAAAACCAGCCAGGCTGGCATTTGTCTTCCTTGGAACATGGCACTCTCTTTTAGTCATGTTAATATTTAGCTTCTCTTTTTTCCATCTTTACGTATTTATTTTTATGAGGGGCTGGGATATGACTAAGATCATTACACGTGTAACACTGCAGCGAGGTGATAATGTGTTTAAGGTTAAATGGGAGAAACATGACATTTGACTAATAAACTTTTTCCTGTGTTGTGACTCCATAAACAAAGGGAAACACGGTGCTGCTGATGCAGAGAGGAAAGGGGATCTGTTTTCCCTTTTTTTTTTGTGCAAGGCATTGTCTCCTACACACCGTGCCATTAGATACAAAGAGGCTGCGCTGAATACAACAGATATGAAATGTGTGATGTTCATTTTAAAATTACAAGTACAGCCCGCTATTGACCATCTAATTATGCTGAGTTCCATTTATAAACATAGCTAACCACTAAGTTTATAGAGACTTTTTGTGCTGCTTTAATAGGATATTGATCGAGAGCAAGGTTTGAGTGGACTGCCATTGAATTGTGTAATGGCATACAAAAGGCAAGGTCACGGCAACTGTTCGCTCTATGCCTGCAGTCTATTTTTTATTATAATCTTTTTTTCTTCCTCTCATAGCCAAGCCCAAATAGAATATTTGGGATAGCAGCGCTTTGCTAAGGAATACAGAATATCTTTTTTAAATGTTAATTTTCGTGTTGCTGACTTCTTTAACAACCTTCACTAGTGCAACGCTTAGCATAGCAGAAAGCATACAGGCTGCAGTTGGGAGAGAGCTGCTTTACGATGCCGTGGCTTTCCCTCACGCGCTCAGCACTGAGATCTCTGCACAGGAAAGTTTCTCCCCTCCCAGGCTGTGGGAAGGCAGCAGTGTCCTCACAGCCCTTCGCAGCCTTGCCTGGCCCAGACCCCGCACCTCGTGGTGGGGCTGGCAGAACATTCCCCACAATTTGTTTTGGCTGTGCCTGGCCTCTCGACGAGAGGTGGGAGGAAGTCGTGTTTCCTCCGCTGCACCCACGCTCAGTGCTGGGAGTGGCAGCAATTACTTTCACTTCTCGCATGCGTGTGCCCGTGTGGCAGTGAGACCAGCTTCAGCCCCCGCCAGCAGCACCCAGCCAGGGAGCTCGCTGCCTCCTGCTGCCTGCCAGGGCCTGGCTCAGCGCTCCGCGAATGCTCGGCTCTGCTGCAGCAGCCGCTAACCACAGCACGGCTGCCTCGAGCCTGGCACTCGCTGCTGGAGGCTCCCCGGATCCTCAAAATGCCCCTGCCACAGAATCACCTCTTACCTGCGGAATTAGCATAACCTCCAAGGATAATTAGCAGAACCATTTCTGTGTTTATACAGAAGTGGTAAGCAACTTGCATGTACGATTGTGTGCTTGTGGTTTCCCTGGCTCATGACAGGGAGTAGGAGTCACCCCACTTGCTCTGTGCAGCTCCTCACTGCTCGCAGCTAACGCCTTAAAACTCAAAGCGTGGCATTTTCAGTCCAGGGTGCAGTTAGAATTCCCTTGTTTATCAGCATGAGGAATGATGTCATTTTGACAAATAACACAGCACAAAACAAATATGTTTCATTTGGCTCTAGCGAATGTTCATAAATCCTAAATCTTTCTTCACATCCTGGGCAGCGCAGTTTATCTGGCTGCCTGAAGGACCTCCAAGGGAGGAGATCTTCCCAGCAGCTCTCTGCACAAGAGCACATAGTGCAGACTCAGTCTAACCGGGACTAACCCTGCCCCGGCCCCCCAGCCTCTGCCAAGCATGGGCTCCCACCCAACGGGACCATAAGCCAACAGCAGCAACCAAGTTCCCAGTTGGCACCTCTCACAGAGGGCCTTCCCATGCAGGTATTTTCCTATCTAGGGCACACAGGGTTTGCTTGGTCGACAACAGGCTGAGTCCACACAGATGAACATCTTCAACTCTTCTGTTTCTGAGAATGTTGGTGTCAGCCTCTCTAGAGATGAGAGAACGAATTTCTCCATTATATGAAGTGTATCTGGGGTGGACTGACAACACCTCCAAAGCTGCTCACACCTTCTGTCTGCTAATAATGTAAGAGAGCTGACAGCTTGGTCTGCAACATCCACAGCAGATCGGATGGAGAGAGAACAAGCTGCTTTTCAGATGAACATGAATGATCTACTTTCTCTGTTCTATCGGGCTCTGCAAGATTCAGTAGCTGGGTATCATGTCGAAAGAAAATCTCCAGCTCCAGGACTGAAGAAAGTAGGCTTCTGTTACCAAAGCAGTCTAGACTGGTTCAATAGCTCACAGAAAGTGTGACGATCAGCACTGATGGATAAGATAGACAATGGTAACAGCTGACCTTTCACTTGATTAATTAATTCCCCAGATTTGCATGACTGAGACAACTGCCTACTACTTGAGACTCCATGCCATGCTCAACTCTGAGAACTCACTAAATAAACCTGGTGCATAAATTGCTGCCAATAATATTTCCCAAGAGAAACTTTAGATAGCAGCAGCAAGCCACAGGCCAGTTAAAACCATGAGAAATCACATGTTTCTATCATTATATTATCGAAAGCAAGCATGGAAAGAATAATGTCAGGCACGCACCTCTGGAAAGCAAAGAAGGAGCAGACAAGAAGACAGCAGAGGCTAAACATGAGGGCTGCTATGGACAGGCAGGTTTGTTGCTTCCCTAGCCAAGATGGTTTTAAAGATGCAAGGACTTCTTCAAAGTAAAAGCCAGGGGAACGGACTGAGGACGTTCCGATTTCTCAGACTACAGGTTTAATAGCTGCCGGTGGGTCTGGATAATGGCTGCTCATAAGCTGAGCTCCCCAGCATGACTCATGAACTGGTCTCAAATGAAGACATGGGAATACATAAACCACCCAGCAAGAGTTATATTGAAAAGCACACTCTTTAAAAGCCCTTACATGCCAATTTAGGCAAATATGCAGCAATTACTTTGTTGCTCCATTATGTTAAATTATTCTTTGAATATCAGCATGCAAATTCATACTGACTTCGCTGGGAATTTGTTGCTAGACTCTACAACTAAACATATCCTACTGGGTAGCCATGGTATGTCAGTCTGTGGACTTCTCAGACCTCACAGAGTAAACAAGGCTGGTCAGTACATGTCTGGGGCATCTCCAAGGAAAATCCAGGGTGCTATCAAAAGCAGTGCAGCTAAATCAGTTGCTGGCATTCTTCCCTCTGAGTCAGTTCTGAAGTGCTATCCCGATATGCTTTAGGGACACTATTTTTGGTAGAGGTGCTGGCTTGTGGACAGGGTATAAGACAGAGGCCTTGACCTCCCAGGATTATTGAAGAGCCCAAAAAAAAGAGTGCAAACCCCCATTCCTGGGGCAGACAAGAGCTCATCTTTTTATTTTGACTACCATCATCCCTTTTTATTTTAGAGGAAGCTCGTGCCTGTCCTGCTCTTTCTGTGTGCAGTTGCCCAGTGCGTTGGAGGTGGTACATTTCAATGGAAAGCAGAGGGAATGTCTCAGACACAGTTCATACTTTGTTTGCAAAAGATGTTGAATGCTAGGATTTTTGATGCATGATGTTTTAGTTTAGTTACAATAAAATATCTTGGAAAACTAATAAGCAGGAAACATGACTCTCGTGAGGTCAGTGCCAAACTCGCTGGGGGGCTGGGATGGCTGTAAGTCCTGAAGCAGTGCACTTCTCTAGCAGCCCTGTCCTCTGCACACATGAAGCACGGCTGACAGAGTCCAGAGGCAGTTCTGTTGTGTAGTGCCCCTACGGTGAAGATAAGATTGTGGTGAAGTGGGATGCCTTGCAGGGGGGGAGGAAGAATCCTTTGGGCTTCAAAAGCCTCGTGTTGTCACACTGGAGTAATGTGACATGACAGGAAGGCATTCAAAGACTGGAGAGAACATGGCTTTGTCCACCATGGCTGCAGGTACCAACAAGGTAGTGCATATAGTGCAGCAAGTTAGATGTCAAAGCCCCCCATTTGAGCACTTCAGCAAGTGAACTATTTACAAACTTCTGAGTCCTCCCGACTTTGTCCTTCCAACAAAACTCCCACCAGTTCTCAGGGAAGGGAACTCAGAAGAAATAACTGCTTCACATTTTACTCGCTCTCTCTCTCCTGTCCATATACCTCTCACACCCACATATCTCCCACTGTTCATGCTTTTCTTGCAGCTTCCTATTTCTGACTACAAAGCCAGTTTACAAGGGAGTGCAAGCCTTTCCAAAAGAGGAAATAAAACAGGAAAATCCTTACAGAAACTCAGTGTTCTGAGTCAAAACCACAGCTTCTTTGCTGGGGTTGTGCCAGTTAGTTTTCAGCGTTCAGAGCTGTATATTCAACTATTCCTGCTATCTAGGAGAATCATTTTTATCACTGGCTGTACTGAATGGATTGGTTACAAACCTAAGGTAAGAAAGGGACATGCAGTTGAGTGGCTTTCCTAGAGCAGTGGCAATTGTGGGAATGTAAACTCCAGCATGGCTGCAGAGATCCCCAGAGGACTGGTACCCACAGCCCTGCTTCAGCTGCAGTCTCCCTGCAAGAGGTTGTCCATGTTCTCTCCTTGGACTATCTGGATTATGTCATAGCAAAATACAATCAATGCGCCTTTGATCAATGGAACAAGGTGGTGACAGGTACTCTTAATTCACTGTTGTTAGTGGGTATCGACAAGCCTGTAATGATCATGCTGCAGTGTGTCATTCATGCTGGGGGCATTAGCATTCTTTAAAGGTCAAAAAACAAACCCTTCTACAAGGCAGAATTCCATACAGTTAAGGGAAAAGGCGGGCCTTGGGAACTTAAAGAACTAAGCCCCCAAGCAACTGAAATCCCAGATCTTCAGATGGTACAGTTGTTGGCATTACTTACAAGTTCATTAATTCCCAGGTGTACAGGACACATGGAATTGATGAACACAACGCGGAGAGGTGGCATGAAAAATTCCTGGCTGAAGCACGCTAATGATCAGGTTTGGTGAAAGCAGAGTCTTTGGATCCCCTAGGAGGCCCACCAGCAAGCTGACCTCTGCAGCCATATCTCTGCACTCTTACACAGAGGCCGCCCATTTTCATCTGAGTACCAGATAAGCTTATCAACTCGCACATGCAAGTTTGCAGCACTTTTTTTTTTTTTCAATTTACTTCTTAGTCTATAAGCTTTTATTTTTCCACATTAAAAGATATAGCACATAAACAGCATCCCCCAGAGAGAAGCAGGGAGAAGGGACTCCCAGTTTTTGACACTGTTTCTGAACTGGGGAAGGGACACATGATAAAGAACCAGAGAAGAAAATTGGGATTGCAGAAACCACACAACACAGCCACCAGATGATACTTACTTTGTGAGACTCTTACTAGCTCGGTCACACTGAAAACACCTGATGTGACAAAACTGTCCTGGAAGCCCAAATGTCCTACAAAACAAACAGAGTGAGAGAACTGCGATTAGCTTTAAGCATTTAATGACAGTATTCTCAAATACTTTGCTTGCATTTACACTTAAAATGTGACATCTAATTTCCCACTTAGCAGTAATTATTGTTTATGTAGGTGGGTAACTAGTCATACAGCTACGTAGGCTGCTTTGTGGTTTCTATCTAGAGGTTAGGAAAGCTAACATGACACATCAGCAGGGAGATTTTTACATGCTAAAGCATCTCAACAGGAAATCTGAAACAAAAGAGGACTATTTTAATAAACGGTTACCTCGAATGACCCCTAATGACTTCACAATAGAATTGAAAATACTGTACCTAGGAAACAGACAGGACAGCTAAGTTCCATAATCGTTTTAAACATTATTCTCTAAAGAAACATCTGATCAGGATTATCTACCCATTCATTCAAACAAAACAAGATTTAAAGATGTACTCTTCATTTTCTGAGGTTACACTGGGGAAATCTTAAAAAAGAGGCTGGTGAAAAAAATTAAACGAGTGCCTTCCCATCAAGAAAACCCAACATTTTAAAACAAGCTTTCATTAAAAAAAAAAAAAAAAAAAAAAAAAAAGAAAAAAAAAAAGAGGAAAAGAAATCTCTGCCTAGGAAAAGCATTAAGCTGAAACTCAGGACTGCCTTCAGGAACCGGGGTGCGCCCATCCACGCTCGCCCCCCCCGTGCAAGGAATGCCTCTCCGCTCGGTATCAAAATGTTATTACACTTTGCATAACACTATTTTCCTTCTTCTCTGAAAACATGTCTACCACCAAATGTTCATTTAATTTTCACGGCTATGATCAATGACAAAAGGAGCAGCTTCCAGGCTGCTGCCCAGGGTAGGCGTGTGAGTGGGCTGCGGTGGCTCACGTGGGGCGTCGCTGGACCTCGATGAGAGGCTGTGGCAGGGCCAGGCTGACCTCCTGCTTTTGAAATCAGGGTCAGAGGAGAAATCACAGGATAAAGAGATTATTAAAAGGACTGTAAAGTCCTGCTTGCCCGCGGGATAAGTGGCATACCTTTTAAGGTTGTCCTACTTAGAGTCACTGATTCCACAACAAGCACACATATATTATTGAATGTTTTGCAGGGGCACCATCTGCTCCATTGTTAATTGTTTGTCAGATGCAGCAGGATTTCCCTACGTTCAGTACATCGCGCCGTGCAGCGATACCTGCCCACCTCCTCAGACCGACCCGAGCCGTGGCACTAATGCTAGTTTGCTCTTTGCTTTTCTTTTGGGGTTGTTTCCAAAGAAGCACATCTCACTGCCATTTCCTCTTGCAGAACGTGAAGCACGAGGAAGGCACTTTGCATGTGGGACTGCAGAGGGTGATGGGCTGGGGTCAGGAAAAGGCTCAGGAAGGCCCTGGGGAGGTCAGCAGCTCTCCCAGCCCCCAGTTAATCTGCACCCTGGCAGACAGACCCTGCCCTGCTTCCGAGTGGCTCCTCGGTGCCAGCTGAACGCAGTTGCTAAGCTAACAGACTTAAGACAAGTTTCTGCATCAGGCGCATTTTTATACTTCAGCAATAATGATGAGTTCTCAGACTGTGTATATGTATATCTCTGGGCATCCTTGTGTATGTGTATATACATATGTATTATGTACACAAACATATAAATATACACAAATCTGTCATGCTCCAGCTGTAGATAAATGTACTATAAAATATTGAAATTGATGCCGAAATTCAACACAAACAAATTCCTCAATCTGCAAACAAGGTTTTTATTTACAGCAAGAGAATAAATTTTTTCCCTACTTCAAATGAGAAAATGCTCCTACAAGTTTTTATTTTTCCTTATTTTCCACTTAGAAAGAGCTCTCGGATAATTGTAAATGCCTTTGCCTCATCTGCTTTGTATTTTGCTGCAATAAAGGTGATGACTACATCATTCTGCTTTTTAGAGACGGTTGCTGGCCCTACACAGTTTGCTCATTGACAATTTCCCGAGTATTTTTAATATGAAGACCTACTTTTCATATGCTGCAGCAGACCTGCCTATTGAATTAAATGATCTGTGAATTAAAAATAATTCTCTTAGGTCTTCACTGAAACCACTCATGTGCCTAAAATTAAGCATATGCTTAAGTGCCTTGCTGGATGGGGGCCAGGACGCTTACTACTCCGCAGAGCCCTTCGCAGGGAAGCCAGTCTATGCTATGTAACTTCTCACACTGTGCTCATCATGACGGTATCTGAGCAACTTCCAGAAGTGCATTCAGCAGTACTACGAACATCTGTCACGTGTTGTTTTTTTCACCATGTACCATACTGGCCCTGCTCCGGTGTCCACTTTCAGCTGCATCTCCCAGGCAGGTTCCTAGCACACGACGAGTGAAGGTGAGATTTAAATAGGTAGAAATAAATCCCAGCTACGGTAAGTCCACTGGCTTATTTTTAAAGGGAAAGCCCAGAGCCCTTTGTAATCGTGCAGTGAAAACTGTGGCATGGCTACCCCCCCCACCTGAATTTAGCAAGCCCAGGCAAAACCAGACGTGAAAATGCAGCAGAACAGCTTTCAATACACTCCACCTCTCAGGGCCCCCCTGTGTATGAGAAAAATTGATTAAGTTAGCTTGGACCTGGTAACTCCTATTATTCATAACATCTGATTTTGCTGAGTGTACCAAAAATGTCTGCTTATTTCTGTAGGAACATTTCTTATGTGCGCTCACGCAATAGCAATCATTAAACAACAGCAGCTAACTAGAGTGGTTAGATTTTCATCCGTCAGTGCTGAAAATAAACATTTCACAAATGAAAGGTGAATTTCACAATTCTGCCACTTGCTGTTTACTTATAAACATTAGGAAATCAGGGACTCGTTTTGCCAATCATTTATAATGCCTTGGTACCCACAGAAGCGATGCCCTTGGCTAAGAGCTGTGTCTTGAACTCATTCTGATGGATGGTTGCTCTCTGAATTTGCAGTTCGGTAGAACTCCATGAAAGTTTAAAGATTTGCCTGTATGGCTCAGATTGCAAAATCCAGGCCTGAGACTGCAGGTTTTGCTGAGCAGAGATAACAGTGCAAGAAGAGAACGAGAGAATCGTGATAAAGAAGCTAGACAAGTCAAAGAAGAACGGCTGGGTGCTAGCAGGATTGACAAAATATGGAAAGAAAACATTCTGCGCCTATTAACAAAGGTCAAAATGCAAATCCATATCAATTTGCTTGTGCTACTTCACTCTGAGTGAAAAAAATATAGGTAAAGTCAAGCAATTACATATGCAGATGTGAGCACTAAAGAGCTCCTTTACTGAAAAGATGATTAAACATCTTGAAAGCTTGCAAGATTTACTTCTCATACAGCACTTTACTGGAAAGTGTGCACGGTGATACTTTACTAAATATCCCAAAGATAGGATGTGGAAATTGCTGCATGTGATCTGGTTATCTCTACAGTTTTGTGTGGCAGTCACGTTTTGGTAGGAGAGCAGGTGTTCAAAATGAGGCTGAGAGAATTTTTACTCACGTTATAACAAACTACCAGAGCCCATTCACTGAAATTCTGGGTATAAATTAAGACACCTGGGTAGCCGAGGCAGCCCTGACTCAGCAAAGCAGCTGCAGCATGCGCTTCATTTTATTCCCGTGTTTGACTAAAGCACGAGCTTATCCGGGCTGACAAAGAAAGATGGGCTGACAAAGCCAGGCGGGTACTTTAGGATATTGTTGAATCTTTGCTTTCAACTCTAGTCTTGTCCCGCAGGAGTTACGTCATCACACAAGACCTCACTTTGGCTCCTGAGGATGGGTTTTTTCTTTTGCCCAAGAAAAAGCCGGGGCAAAAAATCCAGTCTCCCAAGACCAAGCTGAGTCAAGCAGATCAGGATACCGGCTAACAGGCACACGGCACTACCCAAGAACACATTTGATATAGTGTACAAATACCATACAACACAGTCGTAGCAAGTAAAACATGAAAGCCATCTTTATACAGCTTGATGACTGCTTTAATTGGGAAGAAAATTCATAATGCGATTTACATATTCTTTTAGATCCCAGTAAAAGAGCCAGAAGAAAAGGCTTGAATTGCTGGAGCCTAATTCTGATCTCAAAGAAATTTTAAACAAGTCCTTCTACACTGATCAAATGAAGTTTCACCTAATTTTCTCCTAATTTACTCTGGCAGAGGAGACATCAGGATTAGGACTTGTTGTCTAATGCTATTTGTTTTGAATTATTAAGCAAACATTCCTATTTCAATGAGTAAACGTGTACAAAGGCAACTAACCTTCGTCCTAAAATCTAGTTTACAGGGAGAGTATTGTCTGCCTTCCCAATTAATGCTGCAAAAAGGAGTCTCAGACGTTGATCGACCAATCAAGAGCTTGTGTTATAGCTTGAGAAAATCATGACTGATGCAATTACTTTTATGTAGAAGATCTGAATATGGTCTACAGGTTAAAGTTCGCTGCGTTATTGTTTCTTAATTGAATATCAGAAGATGTTTGGTGCTCAAGGTATTATTGTTATTTAATCAGCAGGTCTCTTTGTGTAATCCCACAATATTATTTTCATTACAAAACAGTCAGATCGCACCATAAATATGCAAGGCATTTTCTAAAGAGAGATACAGCTGGTTTCCAGAAACCCGAAATTAAAGAATAATGGGGAAGGGCTAAGCCTTGGAAAATGAAAAAGTCCAAATCCCGTCACTCCTCTTCCTCTACAGTCCAAAGAACAACGCACAAAGCTTTGGAGAACGGCTTTTTGGGAAACCAATTCATTGTCAGTAGTTCGAAATTACACAACAAGTTCCCCAAACCAGCAGCAAAACAATTTCTAAAGCCTTTTTACGTTTGGCATCTCAAGATACGAAGCCATCTTAAAACCTTAAAATAGTAATAATCAATTAGAGACTCAAGCCTATTATCTTAACCAAATGCCTGATTAAAAGAAAAGCCCTCTCTGCTCAAAGTGCAACTCGATTCCTTTTGGTTTTATCCTCTATCTAGATAATCCCATGTTTCACAAACAATGTGGAGCAATAGTATTGATTAGAAAATTAATGTCTGTATCACACAGCACACGCAGGCCTTGAGAGAGAGGACGTTATCAGAGGGAACCTGGATCACCCCGAGGAGTCCCAGAAGATCAGTTCTTCCACAGCAGCACTGGGGAGGAGTGTGTGAGTGACAGTCCTAATCTGCATTCCGCAGCAGACAGCAAAAGACAGAATACATATACGTCGATCAAGGCCTTCGTAACATTAATACTCTGTTTAATTGGGAGGAGAGTTCATTAAGCATGGGCTGACCAGGCCACTGCAGCCACAGGGTCTGCACTCCTTCAAGAAGCACAGCCCTGGGCATGGTGAGGTGTCCATGTGCACACCCAGGGAGCAGGATGCACTCACTTTGGGATATGCCCATGTGCACACACACATTCTTGCATGCATCCACCTCCCTGCTCCCTGCAGGGCAAGTGGAGGGGCTGGGGGCACCCCAGCAGTGAGCAGCCCAAGCATTCGTGCTGTTTGTTCCGTATTCGAAACGCTGCGGGGAGTGAAGCCTGCAGGGCTCGGTCTGAGCTCTCACCCATCCGCCTCAGATGGAAGTGGCACCCGTGGTACGAAAGGTAGCTGTAACCAAATCTGCATTTGCTAACAGATAGAGATCTCTTCCATATATAGATCTCCAGAGCCGGCATAAGAGCCTCGTTTAATGGCTTTGTAGCAAATACGTTCCTCAAATTTGTACAGGACAAACCTTTAGTGGTAGATTATACTACATTTTTAATACATGGACTTTTCGTAGAAGAGTTAAGCACGACATAATACACTAATGGTGGATCCGAAACCCCTCTTTCTTCCCCATCAAACACTCCCACTTGTATTTCAGCTTGTTATTTCTGATTTAATTTTAACGCCACAGCAACAGCTGACCTTGGACAAATGACACATTTTCCTAGGAAATAACCAGCCCTCTCGGCACGCCGGCTCTGTTCTCCCCAGCTCACCTACCTGGTGCTGGCAGAGGATTTAGGAAGCACCAGAACTTTCTTTGTGGCCATGGCAGAATGGATTAGACCGTCCAGGGCATGTCGTGTCAGTACAATAGAGGAACACTTTTAAGACTTTAAAGTCATGTAATACAATTCTAGGCTGGATCTTTCTTGTTAAAAAAAGTAGAATGGGAGTGATTGAAAGAGAAAAGGGCCAATATTTGACAACAGAAATCAGCATAACCTCCTAACAGCGGCAGTCATGGATGACTGCCCTTTGACCCGGGGAGATTATGTGGGATTTCAATGACAACAGCTGGAAGTGAGCATGTGAGAATAGAGAACACAGATCTGAGGCCTCCTACAAAAGACTGCACAATCCCTGCCCAGATCAGAGTGTTGATTAGAAATTGTTTCCTGGTCCTGGCTTAATAGAGTGTGATAATGAAAGTTTTGTTAACCCTTCACAGTATGCAAAACCACTGCTAAATTATTTGCCTTTTTTTTTTTTTTTTTTTTAAGATAAATGGTCTGTATGTAGCAGACAGGAAGACTGGGAGCTGCTGCTGGCTTCCTCTGCCTGGTGCTGCTGCTCAGCCCTGCTCGGTCTGCATGCTGTGCAATGCCTGCACCGGGTCCACCCGCACGTAAGGATGGGTGTTACGGATGAGAAGGGGAACCCACGTGCAGCGTCTCACTGTGCACAGCCTTTCACGCTCACGGCATTTTGGAATCCTTAATAATAGCACCACCTCATTATTATTTCAGTATGTGTCATCTGGGCTGCAAATTAATAAAGGCGGACCTGAGCAAATGTGGTGCCAGCCTGGCTGTGTCACCAGCACCACCTGCACGGGTCCACAGCAGCCTCAGCTCTTAGGAGAAGCAGCTCATTTTATATCTAAGTACAGAGATACTGGAATTAATGGCAACTTATTACTCTTAATGAACCGATCACAGATTGGAATCAATCATGTCAGGCTTTGCCCAAGCAGAGGACACAAGGATAGCTCTTATCCCTGGAAGATAATGGTCTTGAAACACTGAAAGCCCTTCAAGTTCATGTTTAAGGACCTCGCACAATGGAAATCTTTCCAAGATCGATGAGATGTGGTGTGGTTTTCATTTCTGATGACTCCTAACATCGTAGGGTACTTTTCGAAACTCATCTGGGTGAGAAGTCAGTTAAATGCAATTTTTTGATATAACGATAAAAACTAAGAATCTCTATCTCCACCATATACTCAATCTGATAAATAAACTAAATGCATTAATACCGATAGGGGCCTATAGTTTGAAAAACAACAGATGTCTTAAATTAGCATATTTCTGTTTCAGGTCTTCAATCCAAAAAGCAAATATTAAAGAAAAGAAGAAAAATCATTACAAATGGTCATACCCATTTGGCAGCTTTTATAGTAATGTGCTCTTCAAAAGCCTTCCGAAGTAAGAGAGATGAGATCTAACTGGGATGATCATTATGGAATATTTATGGCATCCAACAACAAAAAGAATAATAAAAAGAAAGGCTTGCTTCCTCGAAATAATAACACAGAGTTATTTCTCTTGATGTTTTCACATCAGCCCCAATTCCAAGACCAATGACTGCACGTGCTCTGTTCCCTGTCCTCACTCCTCTTGCTCCCACCCAAGCATCAGCTGCAGTTTTCCCAGCCGGGTTCTGTCTGTGGATTTGCAGGGAGCTGCTCACAGAAGTGAGGGTTTGTAGGAAACAGTGCTGTGAGCACATGCCCCAAGCACAACCCGCAGCTCTTCACACCAAAGGATGAGTGCCATGTCATGTATGGCATAACAGTGCAATGCGTGCTCGCTTTTGTGCTAGTTCAAATGAGAATTTGTTCTAGAGCATTAATACTGCAACTACTGCTGCTGATGCTGAGTAAAACGTCAGGGTGACAATAAATGTAAAGATATCTAAAAACTGGTGTGGAATACTTGGGTATTCAGACTAATCACGGACTGAAATAAGCGCATTTGTTTCAAATCCTGTTTATAGCACCGCAGCCCTTCCCTCCCTTAAATCTCCCTCTTAACCATAGTGATGTTTATTGAATACCTGTCATTTCTCCAGCAGCATGTGCCAGCAGCGGCTCACCAGTGCCAGGCTGCATGAAAACCCTTCTGTCTCCTATTCTCCAAGGGGCTCCCTTAGATCAACCACTCACCATACCCAATACGCTGAAACCCATAAATTTGCAGATACAGCAGTCAAAATTCTTAACAGGAAAGTGCACCCATTTTGCCCAGTGTAGCATACTGAAATATCACATGGTGAGAAGCATTTCTCACCATGTGTAAACTGTCAATTTGATTTGAAATTAAAATTTTTGATTAACATGAGCATTTCTGAGCCTCCCGCTGGCAGCAGCCCTATTGCTGAAAAGTGACATGATTTGTGACACACATGCTGTACAGAAGCCCCATGCCAGCAATTGTTAAACCCATTTTCATTCTGCTTTAATACGGTATGACACTCAGGAAAATAATTTTAATATTTAGGAGAAAGAGGGTGAAGGCTTAAGGAGCGAAGTCCTTTATGGGTGGAATGCGGGATTAGGGCAGTATGGCAAGCAGCATGGAGGACTCCATGTCTCACAAGGCACATCGCCTCTCAGCAATGGGACCATCTGCAGGAGGCTAAGAAAGGTCCGTAGGAAAGCACAAAGCCTTCTCTCAAATCCAGTTGATATTTCAAGCACAGCATGAGGTGCTCTCCACCTATGCATGAATGCTGAGATGCTTCTGCGCGGGGAAATGCTGTGACTTCAGTGATTAAACCCTCGGACGGGAGGTAGGGTTGCCTGGTTTCCACAGGGCCTGTTATTTTTCCACATTTATCACTTCCCCCAGCAAGTACCAGCAGTCCCTAGCATCTACACGGCAACTCACTCATAGAAGAGGAAAGTTTTGTGCCTATTACAACTTTTGAGCCGAGGAATCTCCCTCTTCGTAAGCGTAGCGGGAAGATTTCTGCTAAGCAGTACCAAGAGAACACAAGAACTGGGGCACTTCTGCAGCAGCAGCTTTTACAGCAGAGATAGACTCATGCAGAAGACAAGAGTTCAGTGGGGATTTTCATGAACGTAAGCCTGTGTCACTGTTGCAAGCTGCTGACTCAACTGTGTCACCTGCCTGTTTCTCAGAGTGGATCTTTTTTTTCCAGTAACATCGTGTTCTGGGGAAGTTTATCAAGAAACAAGTATCACGAACAGTCATTCTGAGCAGCAGAACAGCTTTGATAAGTGTCGACACGCATCTGACTTTTCTGCTAGCTCCTAGCGCTGCTCATCACATTAAACACTCAGCTCTGCTGGACTCTGCTCCTAGTAAACACAGAGCCATTCCTAATTGCCAGAGTTCGGAGAGGAAAAAAACGTAGGATTTTAAAAATAATACTAGATGGTGAAATGAAATACCAGCGTGATTCAGATGCAGTGGAAGCATTCAGTCCTGAGCAGAAAGCCGTGGGCTCGTTTATGTTAATAACAACCTGAGAATTCAATCTGCATGAAAGATGTGGTCCTCAATAAAGCCATGATATATAGTGATTGTAAGTATGTAGATTCTTTCAAATAAGTCTGAAGTTTAAACAAGCGTTCTGTATAAACACCTAGTTTTAATTAGTATATTGCCAAGAAATTATACAACTCAACTCAGTGATGCTGTAATTATTTGGGGATCCATAAAGCCCTCCCTCGGAGGTGGCAGCTAGCTGTGTCCTCCACATGCTCCGCAGACGTGCACAGCTCAGAGCCGAGCCCAGGGAGCCTGAACCCCTGCGGACACAGAATGGGAGGTTTATAAAAAGTGGTGCAATTTTTTAATTCTGACAGCACGTGGAAGAATTCTCCACGAGGAGGTGGAGGGGCTGGGGCCGGTGAGGGCAGCAGCTATCCTGTGCTGTGCCAGGTGATGGGACACAAACCTGGCTCTGCATCAGCTGTTTCCTCGCTTTCTCCCTTCCTGGCACCCCTCTGTCTTCACACCAACACTCTCAGAAAAGACTGTGGCTGGACACTGCAATAATAGAAGCTGAAGAAATATCTGCTGAAGATTAGATAGCACGAAAGCAAATCAAAAATAAGGGCTCTGGGCATGGATGTAAGTCATGGGATCAGCCAGCTCTGTCTTTCCGCATGGGCTTTCCTTTCCCTCAGAACTGCTTCTTGCACCTTATCTGCTGACAACACCAGTGAGCAAACTTTCATCCACAATAAAATCTATGCAAATGGTACTGCTCTATTTACTTATTGTTCTTTCCCTTGTACCGCTGGGAGTTTTCTCTGCGGAAGGCTCTTTTACTCCTCACACAGCACTACAACCTCCTGGCTTAGATAACTTTTGGTCCCAGGAAGGCTGACCTCCACCAGGCTGCACGCTTGTTGTCCTTGTGGCCCAAGAAGAACTGAATTTCTGGCAGCCACAGTATGACAACACACATAGCTCCCAAAGTTGTGAGCAAAAAATGAAGGATTTAGAAAAGAGATCCCAAAATCCTATCCCGAATAGAGTCTATCTCAAATAGAGTCAAATCCTAGGCAGCCGAGGAGCCTATACAAACCTAGAAGCAACACAAGCCCTCCAGTGGGGATCCAGGCTCTCCTGCCTCGATCTTGATCTGCTCTGAACTACACCAGACCTCTGTCTTCTCCAGTACTGAGGAAGCCTCACAGACCCATCAGCCAGGGAGAGATGAACTCAGCCTTGGGCAGGTGAATAGGCTTACAGAAGCAGTGTTGCATTAGTGGGTATGATGTCCCCCAGGCACAGCCCACAGCAGCAGGGTCAGTCTGGTGACTGGAGACTGGTGGATGTGAGTGCTCTGCACAGACGACATTCTCTTTCTGTTTTATTCTCAGTTTGTGTTTTGTAGGGCAGGATGCCCTGTCTACATTCCTTCGCAGATGGAGAATGGACATTTATTAACAAGTACTCGGGCGGATGGCCCAAAACTCTAGACTCCTGGCATGGAGCTGTACTAAGAGAGGGCCAGTGACCCCCATTTGTGTTTACTGTACTTCTACAGACACATGTTGGTGTGATAGGGGCATTCACTTTCTCAGGTTCAGGCCAAGGTCAGGCCAGAACATGGACCAAATTTATTTTCTCTGTCTCTCTGTGTAAACTGCTCGGGCTGTAGCCCAAAGAGGGCCCCTGAGTTCATTCGCTGTGAGTGCATTTTGAGGGATTCGAGACTGACACAGCAAACAGAAGGGCTGGAGAAGGACCTTCTCCCTCCATAACTAGCTTCATGTGCTGATCCTATGCACTGCAGTCAGGCTGGTTCTATGGGAGGTGCCTCCAGGGGTGACATGGCAGAGGTGGGATACCTTGCCTCTCAGACCCTCTGACTCCTCCTCAGCAATCAGTCTCGCGTGGCATGGTGTGATGTGCAGGAATGCACAAACGTGGCAGTGGGGAGGAATCCCTGTGTCAGGCATCCTATCAGTATGGATTTTGGACAATCTGAAGACAGTACAGGGATTACAACTTCAGATTTGGATCATGCTTACCAGCCTGGATCATCTTCCCTGGATCAGCCATCAGGTGTGTCCTAACAGCATTCTGCTTGCAAATGCCACACCATGACTGGCTGTACATGAAAGGCAGAACCTTTGCTGGTTAGCAGCAGTTGAGCAGGAAGAAAGAATGGAAGTGGAAAAGGAATTTCACTCAGAAGGACCTTTACATTAAACTAAAGCAACTCAGGTAAAAAGAAAAGCCATCCTTTATGGTTTATAATGCATAAACAGCCATTTCTTTTCCATTCCTTCTTTGCTTGCATTACTGAAATACAGAAATAAAGGCAAAAATAATGATGGATGGATTCTGGACGACTCAAAGTTCAATTCAGGATGGATGCGATCCCAACATTTCAGATTCTTATCTCATCGCAATTGGAATAGCTGAACCTCTCTTGTCTGCAGAATTAGGCGAGACATCCTGTGAGAATGAGCTCTTTTTCACAGCAGTTTAGTCCCCAGACGCATAAAAGAATGAAAACAAGAAACGGAACAGAACATTTTTACTTTTGAGTAATGGCTGCATACGGGCCGTTTAGAACAAGGCTTCACTGGAAGAGTTGAGGAGGAAGTTCATCCTGCCAGTATGCCCATCCCTAGATGCATTCTTCCACAGAGCACATAAACACTTCTCTAAAAAGATAATTTATCTCAGTAACTCCCATTCTGCAGAAGGGAAAAACAGACAAGAAAGCACAAGTGGGTGGTACTTAGACTGTCCACCCTTCTACCCTGAAGAAATCATCCAATACCACTACGTGCCCTGCTGGACCCTGCTTTCTCTTGCAGCCTCAGTCCTTTTCTGCCTGCTCCAAGCTTGTTGGGATGTGTGGGTGAGCGGTGAGGGCTTTCTCTAGCAGCAGTCTCAGGTCCAGAGAAATTACAGGATGAGCCTGAAACATCTCTGTTTAAACTACCCCGAGGTTCAACACAGAAAGAGAGGAACTCCCAGAAGACCGAGCATCTCTGCTGATTATAGAGGGAGAGCCTGGATTTTAGTTCACAGCTGCTGCCTCATTTTAATGCCTCTGTGATGTGGGGGTGAAATCCAAGCCTCAGAAGTTCAGATACTATGTTAGCACAGGCCTAAAAAAAATTGCCTTGCTCCTTGTATCTTGTCATAGGCAATGTCTCCTGACATGCCATGCTTCTGTATCCTTACATTTATATCTCACTGCTGTTTGGTTTATAATTCAGAAAACTGTGAACTACTACAAGTATTGCTGAGTTATCCTTGTGTTCCTGTCCTTCATCTGGTTCATTTGCAGGAGGGAATAATGATCTGTCACCAAGGTAAATTCATTACCCAGCAGATAATGCCACAGTGTTTCTGCTGCCCATTTCACAGTAAGACATTCTTTTTCAATGATGTTGCATCTCTGTTCTCGTGGGAACAGTTTACGGCTGACATAGCAATAGTAGTAATAACAACTTACATTTATATTGTACACAGGATGATCTTTACTTCTGTCTCCTTCTAACAGTGGAGGCTCCCAGTCCTACTGCAAATGCATCATTCATGGCTGTGACAGGCACAAATCTAGATTCACTAATACGGGGCTGCCTCATTCCTCAGCCCTTTGCTCAGGTTGTCATTTCTTTTCCAGACCTTTTTATTTTGTGCTCTGGAATTGTTTTAAATTGAGTTGTGGACTGCTACCACACCACTGCTGTAAGTCTGTAAATCTGTGGGGTTCCCCTCTTGCCTCCAACCCCCGGCCGCTGCAGTCCATCACGCTGCTGCCCGTTCTCTGCAGCTTCTTCCCTCTTCCCTTCCTCCTGCAGCTCAAACTACGCCATGGTCTGCTGTACAGTGAAATTGGCTCCCCTCTGCACGGCGCAGGGGACAGGGCTAGCTCTCTGCATTCTGCTATTGGAAATTTCCTAAAAGCAAATTCCCCTTTTTTTTAAGGACTTTGAGGTAGAACATGTGGGAAAATTGCAGGTGGTCCGCACTGCAAAGCTGGTCAGGTGGGGACACCCCCCCCACTCCAGCAGGCTCTCAGATGGGCATGCAGCTGTCAAAGAGCCTTCTGTTACAGAAGGAAAAAACTAACAGGGACAGAGCCTGAGTTCTTTGTGAGAGTGCTGCAAGGTACATAAGAAGCATTCCTCTGCTAAGATCTTAAGAAATGCCAGCAAAGGGTTTGGCCCACAGAAAGATGGTGTCAACATCCTTGTGCCTGGTTGAGCACCGGCAAGGAGCTACCCAGCTCACCCAGCCAGGCATTGCACGGCCTGGGTCACTTCAGCACTGCAGCATCTTGGGGAAAGGGGCAGTGCTGGCTGGGTGCCTGGTGGGACCCACAGGCAGGGGTAGGGGCCCAGCCTCCTGCTCAGAGCCCAGAGCACAAAGGAAGAACATTTGGATTCCCTCTGGCAGCCCTGCCTTCTCCTTGTGCCTTCAGAGCGAGGTGCTGGCTGTGTGTGATGGCGTGCCTTGCAGAGGATCCTTTTGCTTCAAGTATGAGTGAGGGAGAACGGGAGGTAATGATGAGAGACACTCTAAAATGATTACATTAATTGAGTCTTATGAAAATGGAAAACAATGGCAGCATGCAAAACAAAAAACACTATCACCACGTACATCTCTTGTTTACTAAAAGTGCTTCACTGAACTACAGATTTACTCCGGGACACAGCAGGAAACTTTTCTCCTTTAAATTTAATCAGCGTGTTGGGCTTTGTGGGTTTTGTGTTTTTTTTTTTTCCCTTTCAGAGAAAAACACCAGCGATCAGATCTGTGCTTCCCATCCACTCCTCAGCACAGTGCCTGGAGGTGATAGTGTGAACTTGCTCAAGAATGTGAAGGCATTTTATAAATCATTTGGTTTCAGCAGGAGGGGGAGAAGAGGAGAAGGCAGAGGGATGGTATAGTTTACACACTTCAGCATTTTCTTCAGTTGCAACAGTGGTTAACAAAGAAATGAAACAGACGACGTGAAATGCACGTAGCGAGCAGCACCTCTAATCAACCAGCACCTTTCTACCACTTTGCAACCAAAACTAGCCCAACTCAGAATAAAGTTGTCCAACTGAAGCTGTGGCACTGACGGAGGGGAAAAGGGAGCCGAGCTGAGCAATGCAAAGTGCTGTAAACAACTCGCAGTGCTCGCTGTGCGCGAGATAACGGCAGCAACCGGAGCGCGGCTCCGAGCGTGGCTCCGAGTGGGGCTCCTCACCTCGCCTCCCTCTGCCGCGCACTGCGCTGCTCCTGGGAAGTACGTGTGCACCACTGCAAATAAAAGTCTCCTTGCTTTCCCAGGAACAGATCTGGTATTTTTCCATTCCGCTCACACCGCAGCCAGGCTTCAGAGGGGATTTCATTCTCCGTCTAAACTTTCTCTCTGCTTCCTATCTAGCAACAATTACAGCTAAAAAGTAGTAACTGCAATTAAAGAGATAGTGTCTGATTAGCTACAGAGGAGATGAGGCTTTTCCTGGGAGCTTGGTCTCACAGCAGTGCCTGTCTATGACAGTAACAGTGATCCCACTTACGGCTTCACTTTCTGCTCCTCACTGGGACGTCATGGCTCATATTGACAACTTATGGTTAATGAAACAAAGGCTACTTGGAAACCACCTGACGTAGCCATGAATCTGCAGTATATGCATGAAGTGTTTAGAGTGTACAAGTTGTATGTGAGCACAAGGGTTGGAATCCTTTAAAAGGAAAATCACATTGTGATAGACCTGCAAAAACAGGTATGATTCACCCAGGCACTGCAACACACACAGAAACCAGAGGAAAGGGTGAAATAACCACATACGTTCTCATAGTGAATGCCTGTATTTGGGAAGGACTCGAGTCAACAGAATACCTCCTGCTGGGGTCAGGCAGCCAGAACAAAAGAGCACGGGACTTTAGTGAGAAAGCATGACTGCTCCTGCACTGTGCTTTTGAGCACGGCCACAGGACCAGCCTTGGGTTTAGGTGCGATGGCCCCTGCTATAACTGAGGGAAGTGTGGAAGTAGGCAGAGATAAGGAGTGTCCTAAGGGCCAGGCTGGCAGGGACCCGAGATGTGTGGAGCTGAACCCCACAAGGTGTCAGCCTCAAAGTGCTGCATTCAGCCCTTCCGCAGCTTTCCCAGGGAAAGAGCCAGCGCTGCGCTAGTTCCCCTGCACAGCACAGCCCCAAGCACAAGTTTTTTTTACATCCAGTGGTCTGACCACAGAGGGCAATGCTTTGGCTAAGGCGGGGCGGCCGCAGGCCGTCAGAGCAGATTCTGCTGCTGGGATGCTGAGTGTAGAGCTCCCATTCACTGCCGGAGCCGAGTGGCACCGCTGCACAGAGATGCTACCTAAATAGATGTCAAGTAATGAATGCTTCGGGTAAGCGACTGATTTCAGAGTGTGCTTTCATCCACAGTCCCTGTATTTATAGTTCAAGCCTTTTCAATTAATACGCACACCCTATAAGAATTAAACTACTAATTATCACATTTTACCCTGGTTCACAGAACTTTCATCAGATCTAGTAAATGAAATCACGAGTTCAGCAGAAGAAGCTTTACTGCGCCAAATTATGTCAAGGGTATATCATATTGATAATAAAAGATCACTTGTTGGAAGCCTAACCTAGAAGGTTGGGGAGGCGTAAAAAGTTCACATTTTGGATCATGCTGCTCTGGCGTGGGCGTTTTGTGTTTTTTTTTTTTTTTCTTGGTTATTGTGGAAGGCAATTTTCCTGCAAGTAAAATTTTCCCTTTGTCTTACATTACAGGCATTAGGAAATTCTTACATCGAAAGACAAATAGGTAGGTTCAGGGTTTTGTTTTGACAGTCACGCCTTGGCATCGCATATTCTGTCTCTTCC